GTAGGAAGTTTGGCAGAACATGAATCATATGGCCAGTCATCATGTCGGTTTGCCCGGCCGGCTAGCTCGCAGACCAAAAGATTTGTCGTCGGTATCTAAGGAAGCGATCCATCTTGGACAAACTTTCCTTCTCTCCCCATAGTCTCTCGGATATGAGATATTGGGAACAGGAGCAAGGGGCGGATTTCTAACTCATTTGATTTCACCTCCAACGAGAGACATGCCCTAGGGGCTCTTAAAGCTAGTCAGTTCAGATTCTTGCAAGAATGATAAAGGGCATTGAATTGAAAAATGATAGGCCAACTACATTTACCATGCAAAAAGAAAATATGTATTTGATTTTATAGGAGCTTTATGATTGTTGCTGTAAGCACAAATATTTATAAACTACACTGACTTTTATATCTTTTATTTTCTTTTACTAGGGCTCTTTTTTTTCCTTCTTTTTCTTGAGCGGTTTGGATCTGTTTAAAGCACTGTTCGCACATTTGAATTTATACAAAGAACTAGAAATTGTTAAGGATAAGCCGAGAGTGGATTGAATTTTGAGAGAAGAGGAGCATATTTTGTCTTGTCCAACTGAATGTGACTCAAAGATATCGTATATTAAATGTTAGTGTGACATATCCGTCGTTCTGAGGAATGATGAATGATGAATGATTCGTATGATTTTGATTTCAGTTCATGAATATACTCTGAGCACTTTATAATTTCATATTGAGTAGATAAAGGCTCCAAGGATTATCATAATGAATTGAATTTGAGAGAAGAACTATTGAAGAAATATTGAAAAGATTCAGCTGAAGAAAAAAATGAGAAGGAAAAAAGATATATGGTAGATTAGAAGTAGAATTTCATAAAGGAAATCTGCTGACATTCAAACCGATTTGCCATAGGCTAATTCACCTAGATACCAAATCTTTGCGCTTTATATCTTAGGATTCTTAAATGTCACTAGTTACACCTGATTACAATATTTCTTGAGATTTGTTGACAGAAAGGCTCCTATGCAAATTTTGTGATCTATATGTTATGATAATTAGGATTTGTGAAGCACAACAAACTTTAGATATCTTATTTTGCTCACTTCACGGCAGTGTTTTTTTCTTGGGATTTTAAGTGCGTCATGTTTGAATGCTACTTTATTATTATATTCAATTTTCATGGAAATTAAGCAGATATGAATAAAACTATATATAAGCTTAAATTTTGAAATAAAATAGACAATAGCAATAAACTTAAAGAATCATAGTTGCTTCTTAAAGAGAGAGAATGAACAGAATTCAGAAAGCTTTGGCATGCATTGCATCACCAGCTTTACAGGATTTCAATGTAAATTAATGAATTGAGACAAATTTTTCAAAGGATACATGAAAAGTTTCCACTGTAGACAGGTGGCCTTTATTGACAAGTTCTTCAACACATGTCCCCTCATCTCATAGAGGGAGGCAGTTAAGTTGACCAGTGTATATAGACAGATGACCTTTATAAAGAGGTGGCTGCAAAGACTGGTTTGAATGTGTTTTGGCTTTTTTCTTACAATTTTATCTTAATTATTAAAGAGATGGTTTATTGATTTCAAACTTGACTGAATTTGGTATCATTGCAATCGAAAAATTAAACTGAGTAAAATCATTACATTTGTGTAACTTGTACATTCGAGCGAAATTTATAAAAGTTGATTGAACTTGACGAAAAATCAACCCACTCAACGCCCCCAAAACATCGTAAGTCAGCTGATTTTTGAAGTGACGTCACAATATGAACAGCGGGCCGCTCAGCTGAAATGATTGACGACGGTGCGAGATGCAGTTTGCGTGCGATTCACATGTATTTGCATTGAGTCTCGAGTACCAGACCCATTTATACCTAACGCTGTTTACCTTCATCAAAATCCCCTGGAAATATGGATATGGACGAATTAAAACATACTTGAGTATACTCCAGAAGGCTCCTCCATGGCATGGTTTTGGTTCTTAATCTGACATTAGTCTAGATAAATGGTATATAACTTCCAAAAAGCGAGTAAATAAATCGTCGATGTAGCGTTCAAGTTTCCCGTAGCTAGTAGCTGTGCGTGCGTACTCTGTGCATGTACTATGTGTGCAATACACTGACCTCTATTATGCGTGCATCACATCTAGCGCAGCTTGCTAGCCAGCCTAGCCCGTAGCCCGGCGCTCGAGCTAGCCGTGAATCGCGAACCGGACTGATCTGTTTCTCTCGGTTTATCAGGTCCTATACGACTTAATTTATCAAAAATGTAAATTAATCAGCCTAATCACACATTTTTGTAATGAATATCTGGACAATTCTATGTAAATTTGTCGCCTATTTTACTCCAAAAGAGTCGTTAGGTCAGCATGCAAAATGTCCTTTGCCTTCCCAGATCAGACACATACACGCTGAAGTGCCCTCAGAATATGTGACTATTTTTCCAATTTTTATGCTCAAACGTGACGGAAAAAATATAAAAATCAAACAAACATTTGTAGAAAGTATCATTTATTCATATCTCATTCAAAATGCCCCAAAAAGAGGAAATATCACCACTGGCGGTAAATATACAAACAACGTTAACCCATATCTGAAAATGGCAATGGGTATCCAACATCGTCCCGAATGTGTGATGTAGTTTGTTCATATTGTGACGTCATCGTTTCGCATGTAAAATAACGCCGTCAATTCACTTAGTGCGTGGGTTCAGGAAAGGGTAACAAAATTGCATTTAATTTATTCCTCACAACAGTGAGGGCTTCAAAAGTACTTTGCTCATTTTGTTAATGTTCTCAGCAATCTGTAGAGGTGTAATTTGCCCATTTTCCACATTTCAATGAACCATCTCTTTAACATTGTTCCTTGATAACTTAAAGCCCATCTGCACTAGTTTGGCCAGGGGTATTAAACCTCCCTGCAAGATCACTGATAGTTGGTTATCTCGTCAAATCAGCTCTCAACTCACATAAGAAAAAGGGGATCGTGGGGACCGACAGGCACCAATTAGGCATTGTTTGCTATATAGAGGGCGCAAGTAGCCATAAGTAGTGCAGTGGGGCCTTAATTTAAAAACGAGCACACTTTTATTTTGAAGAAGAGGGAAAGCTTTTCAATAATAGATAAATCATCAAAAGTTTGGCATTTTGAAGTGCCAATGGCAGGATGAAGGTAAAGTCAATCAAATTAAGATCTTTCAGAAACTTTGGCACGGATTGCTTCTCTATCACCACAAGTTATTGGGTAATCCCACTGACGTAGCAATACTTGTCTTGACACTTGTCTCGGAAATGTGTCACGGAGTACGAGGGATTATCTAATTGGGGTTCTGGGACGGTGACAACTCTAATCCTTTACGATGATTGTAGATGAGCAGAGAGTGTCATCTACATCTAGAGAGACGAGCTGCATTAACACTGCAACCAAAGATCATCGTTTTTTTAATTATATTCCAGCAAAAATGATGACAAATTGAAATCCAAAAATCCACCTCTGGAGTGTGTTTTTTTTTTAACGCCTGCCAAAGGTTCACCTATTTTTTTTTTTTGCAGTGTAAAAGCAAAATTTTTGTAAGATACCGATTTTTGCTCAAGTGACTCTTCTCGCTTCCGTGCTAACGCATGCAGAGCAACAACGAGTACTCGCCAAAAATTTGGCATGAGCAGACTTAGACGGTTCTTTATGGGTTTTTCCAGCAATATTCTCAATTCCTTATGTTTGTGAGGAGTAATTACAACAAATATATATATATCTGAGAAATTGTCTG